AGTTTTTCCCAGAAGAAAAAAAAAAAAATCAAAAAAAAACTCTTCACTGAGGGTCTGTCTCTGAATAGAACATAGGATGGTGGAAATAAAGTCAACTGCAGAGCAGTTGTTCCATCAGGATCCTGCCCCTGCCATGACGTCAAGGGCTATTCCAGGTGGTAACCCAACCTGTCTGCAGACATGAGGCACAGGGTGACACTGGGCCAGGGCTAGGCCATGCCAGCATATGGGATGATCTTTCATTTCTCCCCAGAGGACACTCAGTGCTGAGCAAGGCTCAGGGACAACAAAATCAAGAGGGCTATTTGCCTTGCAGTCTTTTATTCCTGGTGTATTTTCCTAGATTGCTGCAGGTAGACTGGCAGCTATGCCAAGTTAAACTGTTGCCACCTCCTGCCTTATGTTTTTTCCAACAGAGGTGTTTTAAAAAGGCCTCACACTCCATGCCCACACTGCCTTGGGTCTCCCTGTTTAAACCCCAGCTCAGCACCGTACATTTGGTAACTGCTCTGATAACCCACCTCCTTCAGATGGCAACCCCTCTCCTCCATGGCTGTAGGGAGTGTAGGGGGGGATCTGCTGGCTAACAAGAAAACACGAGCTCTGTGACACACAACCAACACGCGCCAAGGCCCAGTGCAGCTCCCTGGCCGGCTCCGGCCCCTCTGTCACCGCGGGGCCGCCGCAGGGCGCTGCAGCAGCAGTGCCCCGGCACAGCCCAGGCAAGCCCCGCCGCCCCGGGGAAGGGCCCGGGGCAGGCGGGTGAAGCCGGGACAGGAGAGGCGCTGGGGCGGGCGGGGAGGCTGGAGGTGCCCTCAGGACCCGCAGCTGCCCCGTACGAGGAGCAAACACCCCGCGAGTGCCGCCCAACCCCGGCAGCGCCTCCGTGGGCCGCGGGCTCAGCCCGGGCCGCCATCGCGGGGCTGCCCAAGATGGCGTCATCACCCCGCGCCGCCCCCGCCGCGCGGCGATGGCGGGGGGGTTCCTCATGAGGGGCCGGGGCTGCCCCGCTCCCCATCCTCGGCTCGAGGGCTCTGGGGGGCAGCTGGGGAGGTGCCCGCCCGGCCCCGGATGGGCTGAGGCAGGTGCACAGGAGCCTGCAGCGGGTGAAGAGAAGGGGTGCCCCCCGTGTCGCCCCGGGCCGTCTCGCAGCTCGTCTGTAGGAAACAGGGGCAGAGAGGAGGGTTGAGTGTCTCTGAACAGCACATCTAGGGAGATGATCAGGGGTCTGGGACATCTCTTAGGAGAAATTGAGGGAGCTGGGCTGTTTCCTCTGGAGAACAGAAAACTGAGGGGATCTCATGTATATGAGCATGTCAGAGACGAGTGCCAAGAGGATGGTGAAAGACTTTTCGGTGGTGCCCAGCGACAGGACGAGGAGCAATGGCCATAAACTAGAACATAAGAAGTTTCACTGCAGCATGAGGAAGAACTTTACATTGAGAGTGGTAGAGCACTGGAATAGGCTTCCCAGGATGGTCCTGGAAGTCTCCCTCTCTGGAGACATTCAGACCCCACCTGGATGCCTTCCTGTGTCAGCTGCTCCAGGTGACCCAGCCTTGGCAGGGGGATTGGACAAGATGATCTCCAGAGATCCCTTCCAACTGGGATTCTATGAGGGACAATGAGTGGGCATGGCTCCTTCCCACTTTGTGTGGATGTGGATATGGGAGCAGCATTGCTGGCTCATGGCTGCTCCCAGACAGGCCCTTTGCCTGGCACAATGCGTGTGGCTCTGTCTCTGCTTCCTTTTGGCAGAGCTCTGCACACTCAGGCATGCCCTGTGCCTCTGAGGAGTGCTGCGAGGGGTGTGGGCACACTCTTGGGAGTGAAAAGCAATTACAAGGAGAGCCTCTGGTCACTCCATTGTTGTGTCTGCACAGCTGGTATGTTGGTCGTGTTGGTTGGAGGGTTGACAGTGCTTGGCTTTCTGAGCTCGAGGAGTTCAAGTCAACTCACACTACCAAGGTTGATATGCTGGGAAGTAAAAGGTGGTACGTGGGTAAAAGACCACCAAATCAAAGCCCTGGGGAGACAACCTTTGGGTGATTTTCGAGGAAAGAAAAATGCTGTTGGTATAGGAGAGAAAGATCTAATTTTGCAAAATCATGCATAGATGTTACACGTGGTGATGGAAGAGGTTCAAGTCATAGTAGCAGTCACTCATTCATATGTAGTGTAAAAGAAAAACAAAGTGGCAATCATCTGCTAATTCTTTTCCTGTTCATCTGAGACAACCCCTCTCAGAGCTCTTACTACTTGTTGTAGTTAATGATGCACCTCTTTAATTGGGAATACAGCTCCAGGGTGAAATATTTATCAAGACTACAGTATTGCTTCAGTGAAGATAGGATTTCACTTAGCATGTCATAGCAGCTCTTTTCTGGCATTTTGGGAACACACTGAAGTGTATTGAAGTCTGTTAATTCCTGTATGTTCTTTGTACCTATATTTTCTTTTGTAATTTCTATGATGTTTCTTGTTTCAATGACAGTGATTAAGCAAATTCTTCAGAATAAAATAAATTAAAAAAAGCCCAACAAACTTTTTTTTCTGGTTTAACCCATTTTTATGTAGAAATGGCCTTAAAATTGCATTTGCATCATTGTGAAGGTATGGTACATGGAAGAAAAACAATAATATTTACAAATAGTTTAATTCAAGTTTTATACCAGATTTACTACAGTTATAGTATGTGTCACTTTGCGTGCTGGACACCTGGATGGGTGTCCAAACCCACCCCAAATCCTGTTCACTTTTCCTGCCATATTATTGCTACAGTGCTTCTTATCCCTATTAAGAGTGGCTGAAGTATATCAGTGGCAAAATAGAGGCTCAGTTAATAACTCCAGATATTAACCTATAGTCAGGTACACACAGGTATCTGGCACTTGCAGGAATCTGTGATGATGTTTGTGAACTAAAGGTGTGAAAAATTAAACCTGATGAGAGTGATTCGCAAGAATGCTTCTGAAAGGGAATTTATGCAGAGACAGGTTCTGGTTGTTTCTCTGATCAGTCTTCCTCCTTGAACACAGGCCTAAAAGGCACTTCCCAAATCCAGTCCCCTGCTGTTGAGACATTCTTAAACTTTCCAATCTCCCTCTTAAAACTAATTAGGTTATTTTCCTTATGTTATTCCCACTGTGAGGCTACACCATACTCAGCTCTGATGGCTAGACACTTTCTAGTTCCAGTTTGAATGTATTCATAGCAGGTATAATCCCTTTTGTCCTTGTGCCAAAGCCTTGCTTTAGTTTAGACACTTCATCTCCCTCTCTAGTGTTTAGCCTTGATGTCTTTGCAGAGTGCTGTCATACATTGTCTTTTCCTTTGATTTTTAGGTCAAAGAAGGCACTTTTTTTACAATCTTGCCAAACATAAACACTTCAGGAAAGCATCTCAGAGAATATTCTAGCCGACATTAACCTGTTTTTCAGATGGATGACCAAAGTTACTCACATTGCTGTGTAACACACCATTGTTTTAGAAAAAAGCATTGGCAACTCTTTCTCTTTTATATCTTTCTGGTACAATTTAGGGTAGTCTTTACCTTTTTCATCACCCTCTTATTGCAGTTAATAGTTTTGAAATCACGGTCAGCTGGTAGTGAATACACCTGTGGGCTTCATTTGCTGTAAAATGCATTTGGTCAAACTGAGTCTTCAGTGCTGTTGGGCTCCAGCTCTCCTATGTTGATACTTTTCAGTATTGTGGAGTTTCACAAATACTTGGAAAAAAGCAAAAAGATGACTGTAAGATGGAAAAACTGCAAAACATCTTTCTGGGTTTACCTGCATTTTCTTACAGCAAGATCGGTGAGTCAGTGAATAGAAGATATCCTACCTACATACAGCTCTTGTGGTGCCTTCAGTGCTTTCTTTTGTTTTGATATGAAGACACAGTATATTAAGGGTGTATGTGATTTTATTCCTGTGTTTTCTGATACACACTGGCGGAGATTTATCCTTGGCAGAGCCTTAGAAGGAAATTCGGCATTACTAGTGCTTAATTGCCTGGGCTCAGTAAAGGGTTGTTTTTGTCAGGGAAGTAAGTTGTATTTTAGCAGCTGTATGGAAAAGAATAATACTTTATAGTGATCTATAAACTTAATTTGAGCAATGGGTATTATCTGATGGAATTTATCTGAAAAAGTAGAAGTTTTTATACATAGATAGTGGGACCTCTATACATAGAATATCCTTAAAGATGAAGTGTGTAAGGAGTATGTTTGAATAACATCTGTGCCATGTGTTGTGTCCACAAGTGCTCATTCATCCGTTACCACCCCTGCTAACAGCAAATCTTGGTTCTCTCTTGTGGTAGTAGCTGTTGTTTCACAAGGGATAGAAAACCTGCTTTGAAGAGAGATCTGCTAGGTAAAGCAGAGATAGCTACTCTTGAAGATCTAGGACTAGAGGGGACGTCTGTGTCATCTTGTCCTATCTCCTACTTTAGTTTAGGCAGCTGATTCATAAAACATCAGTGCCAGCCCTCCAAAGCTTGTTCATGTGCTGCTGGTACTGCTTTTTACTGCTTGTCTGTTCAAAGTTTTACTCTTATTTCTGATCTAAACTTATTCATGGATGTTCGTGGCTTTAGCTTTTTCTGTTTCACCCTGTATGCTTGACATTTGATATGTTATAAACTACAATCTATGCTGTGTTTGTCTGGTTTTGTGTAATTGTTTTTCTATTTTGCAGTGTGGGTGACCATTTCTTTTTTTCACAGTCCTCTAGATTGCAGTTAGTTACACCCCCAGTTACAGGAATAAGGAATCACCTCCTGAAATGGAAATACAAATGGAAAAAGTGCAAGTTTATTTGTGCACAGAGTATATTTATGGAATTCTCTGCTTACAGAATGTCATTGAGAGTGAGAGCATTGTGATATTAAATAAATAATCATTTTTATAATTATAGAGGGTTTTTTTAATATTTTCATTGATTCTACTAAATATACTGATCTGTCTGAAGAGGACACTAATTGCACTGATGTAGTATCCTATGGACATGTTCTGTCAGAACTCACTCCAGACAATTCCCTATGTATTGTCTGTGTCTTGCGCTTTCCTTTTAAGTGGTTGGAATTGTATCATAAAAAATGAGGTCCTACAGAGGTACAGATTTCAGAGCTGGCTTTTGACAAGCTGATGAATTCTGAAAACTGCAGGTGGGAATCTGCTACTGTTGCTAATCTTATTGGTGTATGGAAGAGAAATATGTTCTACTCCTGGCAGCACTTAAGTGCCTGAGACTTCAGAACATCACCCATTTACACTATAGACCCAAGTCAGTCTCTGCATCTTGGTGTTTCGGTTCCTCATCTATCAATGAGACTGATGCATCTGCTTAGATTTTACATTTCTGTAGTAAAAAATGTCCTCACATGGCCCCTGACCAGATGAGTTCCTTTGTTCTTGGCTGTGAACAATATTACCTGTGAACTGATGACTTTTCATGAGGTTTGGGAGTTAATTGGATGGGAATTTTAATACAAACCATGATATAGTTTTGGAACTGAAGCCTATTCTTGGTCTGGCATCAGCAGCACGCTGCTTCTGCGTCGATGTTCCTCCATCCGGAGGTTACCACTGAACTGAGCTGCCATGCTGTAGCTAAGTAACCTTTACATCCCAGAAAAAAGATTCAGCAGTGTAAGCAAATGCACAGAGGTTGTCCCATAGTTAAATAACAGATGGCAGAAACAGTTTTTCTTGACCGTGTTATGAGTGTTGGCCGTCGTGGTTTGGGGGAAATTGTTGCATCTTTACAAGAGAAAGACCAGTGTGCTGAAAAGCCATGTTTTTCTCCATGGTGTTTTCTATTGAAGTCAAACTATTTTGCAGGGAGACCTGCCAGAAAAGCTTAGCTCATGGGTTTAATCCAAATTAGGATGAATTTTCATGGGACCAGA